AAATACTGAACCGAAATTTTATCAATCTTATCCATAAACTCCAATGTACATGTTATAACAAATTGTGAAAAATAATTTTCTCAAACTGTCCAATCGGACAATTCAAAATTTAATACAAACGATTAAAAGATAAAAGATTAATCGTTTGTGTTAAATTTCAAACGGAAACTAAGTTTCACTCAACGATTTGATACTTATAATCTAACATGCCAATTATAATAACACAACTAACACATGCATATTCAAAAGCCAATAACACATGCATACGCAAAAGCCAATAACATGTATACACAAAAGCCAATAACATGCATACAAAAAAGCCAATAACATGCATACAAAAAAATTATCAACAAAGAAGCTAACCTTTTTAGCAGATTAAAAAAGCAATGCAGGGAAATGGAGTAATACAGGCCCAAAAACGTATACTAAAATCAGTCAAAAGCGCCGCCCAAGTTAAAAAGCCAGAAACTGCACCAAAACGTAACGGAAACGAATTTTAATCGGTTCAAATGGAAGTTATTTCATGAAAGAGTAATTTAATCGAAGTAAAAGTATATTTAAACGGTCCAAAAGAGAGGAAATGCACCTGGAAATGCAATGCGTAAGAGAGAAAACACGAGGAAAATGATGAACAGTGAGCGTAACTCCTCGCGGGTTCGCGTTTTTAGTATAAATGGCTGTAGAAGTCCGTTGATGGAGGGCCCCGAGGTCTATAATATTATAGACGTCGGGGCCCTAACTAATATGACGTCTTTCTGATTTAATATTGATATTCGCGGGGCTTATAGACGTCCGTTAGGGGGGCCCCGATGTCTATAATATTATAGACGTCGGGCCCCCCCTAACGGACGTCTAAATGGTTGAAAGAAATAATTCCTCACCTACCCTTTCAGCCACTTAGGCATCCATTGGGGGGACGGGCCCGACGTCTATAATATTATAGACGTCGGGGACCCCTTAACAGACGTCTAAATGGCTGAAAAAAAACTCTTCACCTACCCTGTCAGCCTCACAAGCGTCCCTTGAGGGGGCCCAACATCTGGGAAGTCGGTGCAGAGGGGTGGTGGCAGACCACTAGCAGCCGATAGGGTTTATGCTTTGATTGGAGCTGAGGCGGCTAGCTCAGGTAATCTCGTTACTGGTGTTGTTTGTTGTTTGGGAAGCCATGATGTGTATTGTTTGATTCTGGAGCGACACATTCTTTTGTGTCAGAGTCTTGTGTAGAGAATTTGGGGTTGGCAGTGAGGGAGCTACAGTATGATCTGATTGTATCTACTCCCACTTCGAGGTTGGTTAAGGTGAACTAGATGTTCTATGGTAGTAGAAGGGCATCAGTTCAAGGTGAACTTGATTTGTTTACCTCTACAAGGGTTAGCGGCGATCTTAGGGATGGATTGGCTATCTGCCAATCGTATCCTTATAGATTGTGGTGAGAAGAAACTATTGTTTCCGGAGATTGACGAGCAGACATGGTTATCTTCGGGACAAGTGAGGCAAGAGTTGATCGTAGGTTCAGTTTGTTTCATGGTGCTAACTCATCTAGAAGTGGAGCAGCAAAGCCAGAGGGGGAATCACTCCGTTGTGAGTGACTTTCTTGATGTGTTTCCTGAGGAAGTGTCAGGATTGCCTCCTCAGAGGGAGGTTGAGTTTTGTATTGATCTGGTGCCAGGTGCAGGTGATAACAGTTGAAAAACTGTTATTTTCATGCTTAAAATTGATACTAAAAGCAACCTTT